GTGCGTCCCCAGCTCAGGATGCCGGAGTGCGTCCCCAGCTCAGGATGCCGGAGTGCGTCCCCAGCTCAGGATGCCGGGAGTGCCTTCCCAGCTCAGGATGCCGGGAGTGCCTTCCCAGCTCAGGATGCCGGAGTGCGTCCCCAGCTCAGGATGCCGGGAGTGCCTTCCCAGCTCAGGATGCCAGAGTGCCTTCCCAGCTCAGGATGCCGGAGTGCCTTCCCAGCTCAGGATGCCGGAGTGCGTTCCCAGCTCAGGATGCCGGAGTGCGTTCCCAGCTCAGGATGCCGGGAGTGCCTTCCCAGCTCAGGATGCCAGAGTGCGTTCTCAGCTCAGGATGCCGGGAGTGCGTTCCCAGCTCAGGATGCCAGAGTGCGTTCCCAGCTCAGGATGCCGGAGTGCGGACACCGACATGCTGCGGTGCCGCCTTCCAGGCCTCGAGGGCCCGCGTGATGGATGTCCTGCCACCGACACGCGACGCCATTCAGGAGCAGTGGAAGCCCTTGCCTTTTGTAGTGAGTTAGTGACTCCGGGCCTGTGGCTGCTCTGTATACCAGAAAGAGTGCTTGCACCAAGACCTGAGAGAGGATACGCAGGTAAAGATCTCAGCCAGAGAGACAGCACAGAACTGCAGGCAGGAAACAGTGACCGGAGCCACCAAGAGACACCAGGCCCAAGGATGTCTGAGCTGCAAGGAATGATTGGCCTCGAGCAACGCTTGTCTAGCAGAGCTCGGAATGGTAGAGCTATCTGCCGCACCCAGTAGGTCGGCAAGCTGTGCCGTTTCCACACCGGGCAAATCCCTCTCTGTGTTTTGGATTCCAGGTGGAGCCCAACACAAAAGTGTTTCCAGCCGTCTTCCTGCAGCCGACAAGCACTGCTTTGTTTCAGTTTGAACTTGGGAAGCTGAAGGTACTGTGTTTCCTGTCTGTCGTAACAGTCGTGGAGGGGGGGGGGGTCACAGGCCGAGAAGGCCTCGCGCTTCTGCTTCCCTGATTTGCCGGTGGGAGTCACGTGGCAGCCTGCCCTCTTTCTTAGGCTCCGGTGCTCCGAGCTCACCTGTCGCAGAGCTGGGCTTTGGCTCAGTGGTAGAACGCTGGCCCAGCATGCACAAGGCCCAGGGTTCTACCCCCAGCATGGCAGAAACAAAAGAATGAATTCCTCATGGAACTCGAGGTGCCAGGTTCCGACCAACGCTGAGACGCCCCGGGGCCCCTTAGAGATCCGTGTCTCGTGTTTGCATGGACCGTATTGGGCTACCACAGGGTAGCCCGGTACATGAGCATCTCCGCATCGCTGGTGTCTTTCCGATTCCTTTCCACCCCGCCCCAGAATGCCATGCCCTTGTCGGCAGCCATATTTAAGAGTGAGGAGAAGAACCCCATCCCGCAGTGCCCGCCGCGGCTGGACGTGCAGACCATGCAGCCTGTGCTCTGGAGCCGCATGCCCAGCAGCTTCCTGAAGGTGGAGACGGAGCGGGTGAGCGAGCGCCATGGCTGGGCCGTGCAGTGCCTGGAGCCCCTGCAGATGATGGCGCTGTACATCCCCGAGGAGAACAGGTACCGGAGGGGCCCCAGGCCGGGAGGCCGTGGGGCCGGAGCCACGCGACCCCGAAGGGAACAGGGAGGCGCGTGCAGGGTGCCCTTGGAGGGTGGGCGGCCGCAGCAGGGGAGGCAGCAGTGAACAGAGAACAGCCCATCTCAGGTCTCCCAGCGGCACAAAGAGCAGCAACAGTGTCCGACCTGGACCCACACGCATGTGCCCTCAAGCCAGGAAAGACCTGAGCTGCATCATGCTAACCAGTCTCAGTTTGGAACCAGGTGCAAAGTTTGTGTGCAGTAGCTCTGTTTTATGGTAGGATGATGGAGTAACAGAGCGCCACACCCTCTGAGCTCAGTATGTCAGGAAATGGAGCACTGTCTCGAGCCTACAACAGAGGCAGAGTAGTCAGTGCAAGGTGGTGACTCATGTCCACAATCCCAGCCACTCAAGAAACTGAGATTGGGAGGATCCGGCTTCAGCCAGCCAGGCTAAGCACTCTCGAGACCCTAGCTTAATAGAAAAGGCTCCAGGCCTGGCGGTGTACGCCTGTCATCCCAGCTGTCCAAGCCAGCCCTGGCAAAAAGTGAGACTTAGCTCACAGAATGCTAGATCACCTGCCTAGCGAGTGCAGAGCCCCGAGTTCAAACCCCAGTGCTGCCGGTAATAATAAAAGCAAGGTGTTTGAGTTTGTCTTGTATCTAATTTTTTTTTTGGGTTGGGGGTTTTACAGTTTTCTCTTTCCTCTTCGGTAAGCCAGTGTCTCGAGGGTTTTCAGTCTTGGGAGAAGTTTGGGTTAGTGATGGTGAGCCGCAGTTAGAGCAGGTGTGAGAGGAGGGCGGGGCCCCTCCTGCACTGCCCTGCGCCCGCTGAGCTCCCGCACCGGAGCCCCGGGTCCCCCGCGCTGAGCTCCCGCACCGGAGCCCCGGGTCCCCCGCGCTGAGCTCCCGCACCGGAGCCCCGGGTCCCCGGGGGGCCTCCTCCCCACGGCTGACCCCGCCCTCCCCAGGTGCGTGGACATCCTGGAGCTCTGCGAGCAGGAGGACCTGATGCAGTTCCACTACCACACGCTGCGGCTGTACAGCGCCGTGTGCGCCCTGGGGAACAGCCGGGTGGCCTGTGCGCTGTGCAGCCACGTCGACCTGCCCCAGCTCTTCTACGCCATCGACAGCAAGTACCTCCCCGGCCTGCTTCGGTCCGGTTTCTATGACCTGCTCATCAGCATCCACCTGGCCAATGCCAAGGAGAGGAAGCTGATGATGAAGAATGAGTACATCATCCCCATCACCCGCGCCACCAGGGACATCCGCCTTTACCCGGACCAGTCCAAGCGGCCCGGGCTGCCCGGGGTGGGGCTGCGGGCCTGCCTCAAGCCAGGCTGCCGGTTCACCACCCCCAGCGCCGTGGCCACCAGGGAGGAGCCGCAGAAGCAGAGCCCTGAGATCCCCCTGGAGCTGCTCAAGACAAAGGCGCTGGGCATGCTGACGGAGGCTGTGCACAGCAGCGGGGCCCACATCCGGGACCCCGTCGGGGGCTCCGTGGAGTTCCAGTTCGTGCCCGTGCTGAAGCTCATTGGAACCCTGCTGATCATGGGTGTGTTTGATGACGACGATGTGCGCCGGATCCTCCTCCTGATCGACCCCTCTGTGTTTGGGGAGCGAGCGGGGGAGACGGAAGAGGGCACGGAGAAGGAGGAGGCCACGCAGGTGGAGGAGAAGGCGGTGGAGGCTGGGGAAAAGGCTGGCAAGAAGGCTCCTGCCAGAGGCCTGCTGCAGACCCGGATGCCTGAGTCCGTCAAGCTGCAGGTAACCGGGCGGCCAAGCCATCCCTGGGCAGGGGCCCTGGGAGGGGGAGGGAGGGACCGTGGGAGCAGGGAAGGACTGCGTCTGGCCCCGTCCTGCGGCTGAAGATACATCAGAGATGGCAGGGAGCTCACAGGAGACATACGCTGACAAGCAGTGCATCCCCAGCCCGCCCGGCACAGCGTCCATGACGCTCCGGGGACACAGCGTCCCCCACAGCGTCCATGATGCTCCGGGGACACAGCGTCCATAATGCTCCAGGGCCACAGCTGCTACCTTGAGGGCACCAAAAAAAACGGGAAGGAGCAGAATAGGACCATCTTTCCCAGCCTGCGAGACTGGGTCAGCCATTCCTGCGGCTCCATCGCTGCATCCTGCTGTTTCCTGGTGGAGGAACTTGCCAAGTCAGACAATAAGCAGAATCTTAGCTTTATTAGTGGTAAACTGTGAGTCCTACTTATGACAAAATATAACATTTAAATATTTCCATAAGGGGCTGGGAAGGTAGTTCAGTGGTAGAGTGCTTACCTTGCATGCCTGAGGCCCTGGGTTCGATTCCTTAGCACCACATAAGCAAAAAAGAAAAAAGCCGGAAGTGGTGCTGTGGCTCAAGTGGTAGAGTGCTTGCCTTGCATGCATAAGGCCCTGGGTTCGATTCCTTAGCACCACATAAACAAAAAAGAAAAAAGCCGGAAGTGGCACTGTGGCTCAAGTGGTAGAGCGCTAGCCTTGAGCTGAAGAGCTGAGGGACAGCACCCAGGCCCAGAATTCAGGCCCCACGACCGGACCCCCCCCAAAAAAAAAGAAAGATTGAGCCACAAGACTTGGCTCTTAAAAGCTTCTCTTGAATGATGCTAAATAAAAGGCAGAGTGTATTGCCCTTCTGATGGATGCAAACTGAGAAGGCTCTTGCGGTCTGTAAAGAACTGCTCACGAAGGCTTTGCAGATTCAGAGGCTGCTTGTAGACTGGCAGTGCGTAGGGAGGTCCCTGTGTCCCTGGGCAGGGCCATCCTGTCCTGTATTTGTGAATAGCACACTGATCGCAGCAGTGGAGTTGGCTTCAGACCGCGGACCCTGATTGTGGGCGCCCGGCTCTTCCTGGGTGGTTTCAGGCTCAGGACCCCTTGAGCCTCAGTGTCTTTGGCTCGCGTGGGCAGGTCATCTGGGTGTGTCCTCCTACCCTGTAAGGCTCTTGTGAGGATCCAGGAGAAGGTTGTTTTAGCTTGCTCAGCATGATGCTGGTCCTCGGGTGAGTTTTCTGCAGTACTACTCCACCTGCCCTAAGTGTTGGACTTTGCATCTGCTGCATGCTTGGTTTTTTGACCTTCTGTCAGCAGCTAGCTGAGTGGACACACACCTTTCATGGCATCTCTTTGGGTCACCTCCCAGTAGTGTTCTCGTGGTCCTGGCTCCAGTGGGGCGGGAGGCTTTGATGTCCACCCTTTTCCCTGTTCTGCCCTCGGGCCTTCCCTATACTTCCTTGCCAGTGTTCTAAACAATCCTCTGAGAAACCAGTGCACAAGTCTGTAACTCAGGCCTCACCCCAATGTTAATTATACCAGTGCTTCTTAATCCTTCCAGAACTTAATCCATACAGGCTCCAACTCAGCAGGTCTAGGGGGAGGCTCAAAACTTCATATTTTACACAGGCTTTCAGGTGATGCTAATGCTGCTGGCGTAGGGATAAAATGGAAGGAGCAGCTCTGTTCAGAAAGCTGCTGCACGCAGGGTACGTTTCAGGGCTCTCCTTATTCTTCACTGTGGTAGTTTGAAAGTTTCAGGGCTCACAGTAACATATTTGATCCACTTGGCGTTGATATTAGTATAGGATAGAGATCATGATCTAATTGCAATTTTGTGTCTACGGTAATTCAGTTTCCCATGGTGAAATCCCTGTGAACTGTTAAAATACGCTTAGAAAATGATGACAGGTAAAAGGAGAAGCTGGAGGTAGGCGGCTTTGGTCAAAACACTTCATGAGCATGTGTGAACCAGTGAAGCTGGTGGAGACTGGGTAACTAAACAGAGAGGATGGTGGAGTCTGACAAAGACACCCCGCACCTGTGCATCGCTGGACACATCTGTACAAGTGATTCATGTTAACAAAGAAGCCAGAAAATAAACATGAAGGAAGTCACTGTCTGCCGAGAGACCCAGCTGTCCACCTGCCATTCCCCCCAGAGCCCAGGCGATTCCCAGCATCGGGCAGCAGTGACTGGCAGGTTTAGCTCAGCTTCAGAGGTTAGCAGCCCTGAGCAACTGGGCAAACAGCATGCATGGAATTAGAACCTTTGAAGAAAAAGACGTTTACATCTCAGTATCCAGAGTCTTCTGAATGATGACAAAAATCACTGAGGATTATAACTACGTGCAAAAGAAAGTCAAAACTGAGATGAGGTGCAGCCTTCTTTTGTAAAAGGCCTTTGGGAAAGTGCCTGGCTTGTAGCTAAAAGTGCCATTCCGTCGACCTCTCCATCTTTTTATTCCCTTGCCAGTACTAGGGTTGGAACTCAGGGCTTGTAGGTGCTAGGCAAGCACTCTAGCACGTGAGCCACGTACCCAGGACCTTTCCAGGTAGAACTGGCCAACCATAGACTACGAGCCTCGTGGGATTACTGCTACGCGACTTCTGCCCGGCCTTCGCTTGCGTTACGCCGCCAGCAGGCCGGTGGCTCTGCCGTCTGGATGAACCAGCAGAGGGGAGCTCTTTCAGCACAGAAGTTAGGGTTTTTCTTTTTGTTTTGAAACAGGATCTGCGGATCTTATATTCATTTGATAAGGAACTTCATGTGTATATTGTTGATATAATTACCATAGTTTATCATCCCAGAGAAACCACAAAGATGACTTTCCCAACTTGCTTAATGGATATTAGTTTACTATAAGCAATGTCTCTGCCTACTTATAAAAGAAAATGCTTTGTAACAGAAGCTTTTAGAGCCTTCCACATAATCTTAAGTAAAGCTCATGGTTTAAAAACAGAAATCTTTAGCAGATGGAAGACAGACTCGCTTCACGTGGCGCTGGGCTGCGGCGGCTGACGCAGTCATGTGCACAAGGTTTTCTTTGTTTGGCGGCCCCTCCAGAGCTTCCCTGACCCCGGGTTGTAGGCCTGCAGAACATGGTCCAAAGCTCGGCAACCTGGCTAGGACACAAGAGAGCAGCTTAACTCGATCTCCACAGCGTGGCTTTCCATGGTGAATAGAAGCATCAGAGTAGCAAGGGTCTTGCTTTGTCTGCAGCCAGAACTGTGTGTGTCTTCTCTTCACCTTGGCGGAGGGGAGCTGTAGAAGCACTGTCTGTGTCCGCTGCTCTCCAGAGTCCTGGTTATACAAGGCCCACGGGGGTTTTCACCTCGGCTAATGAAATACAACTTCATGGTTTCACAAATCCTTCCATAGTTTAGGTAGATTTCCATACTACTGTTTCTGTTTGTAATTCTGTATGTCTTTATTTAAAATACTAATCTGAGGCTAGGGGAATGACTTAGTTGCAAAAAGAATGATACATTGATTACAGAATGTAAAACCTACATGTCAAACACAAAAACAGACCCTGTGAGCCAGATTTAAAGCTCCATAAAAATGATGGCGAAATCTGGAATTTACATTACAAAGAGTTAAAATCTAGAAGACTGCAAAACACTTACCAAGTCATTTTTAAAAGGATAATTACCTGGTATGAGGAAAACGAAAGAAGAACATAAACAGAAGATCCACAAAACGTGAAATCAAATTGGTCTTTATGTTTGGAAAAACAAAGTTCAGCCTCAACAATTAAATGCAAATTAAAGCAACAGGGATATGACATTTTTCACCCATTAAATTGGAAAACGTTTAAATGTGTTGACTCTCATTACTGTAATGGAGATGGCAGAGTAATACACGCACTTGTATAAACGTGGTGCTGAGGCTAATTGTAGTGAGTATTTGGAGAGCAATTTGGCAGTTCCTATGAAAAGCCACTTTAAAGCTCAAACCTGTTGCTCCTCCACTCATTTTGCTTCTGTGAGTTCATCCTAGGAAAATGGCAGGGTGTGTGAACAGGATTCATATCTGGGACACAGTGTCTCACCTAGCTACTTGGAATGAAAGCTAGAGAATCATAAAAGAAAAAAGAAGTTTGTAAGACACCCCCCCCATCTCAGCAGACAAGTCATACAGAAGCTGAGTGCCAGTAGCTCAGACCTCGGAAGACTGAGGCGTGGAAGATTGAAGCTCAAAGCTAGTCCAGATAGAAAAGTTTGTGCAATACCAACTACAATTAACTAGCAAGATGTCAGACTGGAAGCCTGGGTCGAGTGGTAGTAGCATGCCACCTCCTGTGAGCAAGAAAGCTGAGAAAGATTGCAAGGCCCTGAGTTCAAGTTTTCATACTGAGACAGATAGATATGGTGTCTCTGTCTTCTATCCCAGCTACTCAGAGGGGGTAGGTGGGTGGTCACAATGAGAGACTAGTGTAGACACAAAACACAAGACCTGATCCTGTTTTATCTGCATTAGTGAAAATAACTAGTAGAGAAAGGATTGAGGGCAAAACTCAAGTACCACGCTTGCCTAGTAAAGACAAAGCCCCAAGTTCTAATTCCACCACCAAAAAAGACAGAGAAAAGGAATTGCAAAGCTGCTTTGTTTATGTGGATGCAAGAAACACCCTAAATATAATTGCACACATTTTTGTCCATTTGAGGAATGAAATAAATGCATCCACTCAAAATAAGGTTAAAAGCAGGGTACCAGTGGCTTATAGTTCTAAGCCTGGCTATTAGAGGCTAAGAACTGGAAGATGGCAGTTCAAAGCAGCCCAGGCAGAAAAATCTGAGGGACTCTATTTCCAATTAACCAGCAAAATGCTAGAGGCTGGACAAATGACTCAGTAATAGAGCACCAACTAAGCAAGCAAGACAAGTGAATAGCAGAGGCCCCAAGTTCAAGCTCTATCTGGTAGTGGGAAAATAAAATGTTCAGGATAAATCAACTGGAAAATTAAGAAAGTATGAGCCCAGCTTGTGTGGCGCGCAAGTCTGGAAGGTACTGGATAGTCGCATGGCCCTGTGTGGACGCAGAGTCTGGAGGAGATTGGATGGCCACAGTAGTTACCTTCGTGTAGTAGGGTCACAGTAAACCTTCTTTAGATATTCTCTTCATTTTGTACAGTTGGCAAATTACTTTTAGAATCAGAGGGATAAAAACCTGAAAGCTACTGTTATATACCAGCCACTTTTCCTCCCTCACACAAAAAACTAAGCAAAATTTGTAAAGAAAATAGTAGCTATGAACAGTGATTGCAAAGGACTAGGTTGGGGAACTAGCAGTTCATTATTTAATGGGAACAGAGATCCAGTGAGGCGTAAGGAAAGATTTCCAGATGCACAGTAGAAATGATTACATGAAAATGACAATGTACTTCATGCCACTAAACTATACACTTGAGAAAGATTATCCTTTGGTGTGTGTGCTGGTCCTGGACTTGAATTCAAGACCTGGTGCTGTCCCTGAGCTTTTGTGCTCAAGGCTAGCGCTCTACACTTTGAGCTACAACTCCATTTCTGGCTTTCTTTTTTTGTTTTTGTTTTTGGTGGGTTTTTGGGGGGGGGTTGGTAGTTAATTGGAGATAAGAGTCTCACTTTCCTGCCTGGGCTGGAAACGCAGCTTTCTGTGTGGCTAAGGTTACAGACATGAGTTACCAGTGCCATCTGAGAATGATTGCCTTTTAAAATTATATCACAAAGCCGGGTGCCGGTGGCTCACGCCTGTAATCCTAGCTACTCAGGAGGCTGAGATCTGAGGATCACGGTTCAAAGCCAGCCTGGGCAGGAAAGACCGTGAGACCTTTTTTTTGATTATTGTGAAAATACCGTACAGAGGGGTTACAATTCCATGGGCAAGATAATGCGTACATTTCTTATCAAGCATTGTAGCCGCCTCCTTTGTTTCCCCTTCCCATCCCTTCCCATCCCCCCCCCCACATACACACACAGACTCTTATCTCTAATTAACTGCTCCAAGGCCAGAAGTGGTGCTATGGCTCAAGTGGTAGAGCACTAGCCTTGAGCACAGAGAGGCTCAGGGACAGCACCAGGTCTTGAATTCAAGCCCAGGCCCTGAGTTCAAGCTCTGCAATGGGCTAAAAAAAAAAACCCCACAATTTTAAAAGTCTCTTTCATGATAAAACGAATTTTTTTAGAAATCTATTTATTCTCAGGAGGTCCTAAATAAAGTAGGTCTATTTTTCCCTGTGTTAAACATATATTTTGCTTTAAGATAAAGAAGGAACCTATTAAATGTCTAAGAAGGATCTGAATTTCCTCACTGACATAGAGAACTAAAGAGTCATTTCCTTCCTTTTTTCATCCTTTATTTCTTCTAGAAGTAAACTAAGATTTTTATCTTTCTCACCCATAAGATTTTAAGCTCTTAAAAATGCGCCATCCTCTTAAAGCATTTGAGTCGCTTCTTTTCCACCACACAGGTCAACATGCTTCTCAACTTCCAGCTGGGGGAGAATTGCCCATGCCCGGAGGACATCCGTGAGGAGCTGTATGACTTCCACGGGGACCTGCTCCTCCACTGTGGTGAGCTGCGGGCGGGCAGGGGCCACGGGTGGGCATGGGCCACAGGCCATGGGCGGGCAGGGGCCACGTCCACAGGGACCTGCTCCTCTACTGTGGTGAGCTGCGGGCGGGCACGGGCCACGGGCAGGCAGGGGCCACGTCCACGGGGACCTGCTCCTGCACTGTGGTGAGCTGCGGGTGGGCAGGGGCCACGGGCAGGGGCCACGTCCACGGGGACCTGCTCCTGCACTGTGGTGAGCTGCGGGCGGGCACGGGCCACGGGCAGGCAGGGGCCACGTCCACGGAGACCTGCTCCTGCACTGTGGTGAGCTGCGGGCGGGCAGGGGCCACAGGCCACGGGCGGGCAGGGGCCACGTCCACGGGGACCTGCTCCTCCACTGTGGTGAGCTGTGGGCGGGCACGGGCCACGGGCAAGCAGGGGCCACGTCCACGGGGACCTGCTCCTCCACTGTGGTGAGCTGCGGGCGGGCAGGGGCCACGGGCCACGGGCGGGCATGGGCCACAGGCCACGGGCGGGCAGGGGCCACGTCCACGGGGACCTGCTCCTCCACTGTGGTGAGCTGCGGGCGGGCACGGGCCACGGGCGGGCAGGGGCCACGTCCACGGGGACCTGCTCCTCCACTGTGGTGAGCTGCGGGCGGGCACGGGCCACGGGCAGGCAGGGGCCACGTCCACGGGGACCTGCTCCTGCACTGTGGTGTGCTGCGGGCGGGCACGGGCCACGGGCCACAGGCGAGCATGGGCCACAGGCCACGGGCGGGCAGGGGCCACGTCCACGGGGACCTGCTCCTGCACTGTGGTGAGCTGCGGGCGGGCACGGGCCACGGGCAAGGGCCTCCACACCAAAATCACACAGAAAGTGGGCCTGGCGGGATGTGACTGAGGATCCTTCTGCCTGGAAGAGGCCTTGTGAGGAGACAGAGCAAGAGCAGGGGTCTCCACAGAGAGAAGGAAAATGACTGATTCTCATATTCACCTCACTCTGCTTTCCTGCAGCGGGGGCTCTGCTCCCGGGAAGTAGGATGCTCTGCTTTTCAGTATCTATGTACATGGGAGGGTTAAGCGTAATATTTTCCTTTAAGGATTCTAAGCAAGCAATCCCACCTGAATACGTTTTGTGTTGGTCTTGAGTCTCTCACGCATCGTGATGCTGGTACAGGAGCGGGTGGAGTCGTATATGAAAAAAAGACAAACTTTAATGCTGTGGTGCTTCTTCTCCAAAATCACTCTGTTAAGGTGCTGATATTGTGGATTTCTTCTAACCGTTATCCGAGGCTCTGCTGTTTGGGGGTTGTTGTTTTTTTTAATGTCTGTTTGGGAAAAGAAAAGTATTTCTTTCTGAAGACTTGAGAGTCCTTTTCAAGTATGTTAGGAAAAGTTAAAGCCCTAAGATAAATATGTCTGATACGCAGGAAATTTCTATTTAAAAACCTTTCCTGCTGGGCACTGGTGGCTCATGCCTGCCATCCTAGCTACTCCGGAGGCTGAGATCTGAGGATCACAGTTCAAAGCCAGCCAGAGCAGGAAAGTCTGTGAGACTCTTATCTCCAATGAACCACCAGAAAACTGGAAATGGTGCTATGGCTCAAGTGGTAGAGCACTTGCCTGGAGCTGAAAAGCTCAGGGACAGTGCCCAGGACCTGAGTTCAAGCCCCACAACGGACAACAAAAAACACAAAACCTTTCCTGAAGGCATCATACCATCTGTTTAGGAAGCTCCAGAAGGCGCATTCGTATGCTCGTTCTTCTGCTTGGGGTTTCGTGTGGTATCCAGGTCTTCTCTCTGTTCTGCGGCTTGCTAGGTGTCCCCGTGGAGGAGGAGGAGGAGGAGGAGGAGGACAGCTCCTGGCCAGGAAGACTGCGTGCCTTGGTGTACAAAATCAAAGGCCCGCCCAGGCCTGAGAAGATGAAGCGGGCAGAGGAGGAGGAGCGATACCCCGGTAAGCCACGAGCCCCCAGTACCTGCCCCTTCCAGCCTCGATGGAGGCTCCTGGCTCTCTACCACGCACCAGCCAGTGCGTGTCAGCGCACCAGAGCGGCACAGGAGCTGCGCGCGGCGCTATCGCTGCTGCTGCTGCTGTGTATGGAGAGCTGCCCCCTTCTCCAGCTGAAGGAGCTGGCCTTCAGGCTCCTGAACCCTGTGGTTTCAATGGCTTGGTGTCTGTCTACCTGGAAGTCCTGCATTTTTCCTCATTGCCTTCTTTTATCTGTTGTCATTTTCTATCTCTTTTATTTGGGGTTTGTTAATACAGAAAATTGACCTGCTGAAGAAATAAAATGATAGTAAAAGGGGCTTATAAAACATGGGTGTTTGGGGTTTTGAATTCTCATACTGGTAGCTCAGCACTGTAGAGGACTGTTCCTTGCTAATTTTCAATACAGAGACCTTATTTCTATCTTTACCTTGTGGATAATGCCTACCATTTGACCCAAGTTGAAACAAGATCATATTTTTTCCTACAGGGGAGTTGGCTAAACTATTAGCATTTCAAGAGGAAGATTGTCTGAATGTTAAACATAATCGATCTTCTCCTTGCTAGACTTAGCAAATGTATCATTTATAGAAAGAAGGGATTTCCCAAGTTTAATATAGCTACTTTTTATCTTCTCCTGTGTTCCTAATCATCTTGGAACACACTTTCAAATCACAAACTAGAGCAATAGATTGTCAACATATGATAAGCTCATCTGAAAACACCACTTTGGGGGCTCATCCATCTTATTATCCTCGGCACTGACCTTTTATCTTTGTCAGACTGTCTCTGAGGGGAACGCATCCTCTCCGTTCGTCAGTGGGAGTTTTAAAGCACTGGGGCAACGCATGGCATTTCCTGGCCAGTCCATCAGTTACCATGGAGAGGGGGAGTCTAGGAGAATGGAGCCTTTGTTTTGGGAAGGAGGGAGGGAGGAAGAGGAAGGAGGGGAGAGGCTGTGGAAGAGGGGCTCTGAGCCAAGGACAGTGGCAAGGTCAGGGACGGAGAGGGTTCTCTCTGAGAGCTTCTGAAAAGAGTCTCCTCAGCCACTTCTTGACTCTTGTCCAGGCGCAGGTCAGACTTCGTTTTACAGAGCTATAAGAAAATTGCATTTTTCAAGTTCCTAAATGCATGGTAACTTGTCATGCTATCAGTAAAAAATGAATACAGACCGCAGCAACAAAAAGTGGATCCTCGGTGGGAGCAGGCAAGGTGCTGGCTGGAAACGTAAGAAGGAGGCCGAGGTTAAGCGAATCCGGTGGATTCCGGAGCCCGGTCCGTTTCCTGTGCGGGCATGGAGACCCGGGCAGCGGACATCAAGCCTTCTGTTCACCTAGTTCGTAGAGGTCACACACAGATCTTCTGTGCACATCTCCTCTCCCTCGACGGCGCCGCCTGGCAGACAGAAGGCCGTCAGTCCCAGCACCAGGTGAGAGGCGTGCCGGCGCTGGAATGGCGGAGTCGCGGTCTCCGCTCTGAGTCTGGCTCCGTCACTGGGGTGCAGCGTGCACCGTGCAGTCTGTCCCGGAAGCGCGGGGCCTGCCTTTTGGCGGACTCTGCTTAGAGTTCGATGGTACTCGGGAGACAGAAACCGTCGCCGTGGTTGAGGCTTGCCGTATGCCAGGCATTCTGCTAGACGCCTTCCATCCGCACAGCAAGCCGCCAAAACCGTCACCGCCAGGTCAGGGTGACTGAACTAGAGAAGCAAGATAATTGGGAAAGTTCATGCAGCAAGTCAGAAATGGGCTGAGAGCTGAGCCATCTTCCTATCTGCCACCCAGAACCCTTCGGGGTTCCTGTGTCCAGGGCAGGGGGTGGGGCGGAGAGGCAGCAGGGATACTGTCTTTAGTCTGAGAATCCACCGTCCTGGTTAGATAAACACAGAAACCAAACCGAACGCCTCTGGTGGTTTCTCCAGGAGAGTAAACACTGAGGTCGTAGGGCCCCACGTCCGCTGTAACTCCACCTTCATTTTGAAGGCCTCTGTCCTAACACGTGAGCACAAGTCCTCTGCCTCTCTGTGTTCCCCATCATCATCATCATCGGTCATTAATCTCCTCGATGTTTGGAGACGGTGATTATGAGGCTGGTTGGCTGATTTCCGAAGCACCAGGCCAGTTATCTCACTGTGATGGAGGAGACCCCAGAGAGCCAGGGAGCCAGACGGGCAGCATCTGGCTGTGGACACGGGAGCAAAGTTTCTCTGGTGGCTGGGGGTGAGCGGGCATCCAGCCGGCCTGGGAACCGCCCTGGGCTGAAGCACCTGCTTCTGCCGTCTGCCCTGACACATGGCCAGAGCCCCTGGGCTGCTGGAAACAGAAGACTTCACATCCTGGCCTCTGCTTCTGTGCAGGTCACCCCATGAGCCCCGCAATCACCTGTTCACAAGAACCCTGTTCACCAAGGTGTAGTGTTCGCCGGGCACCGGTGGCTCACGCCTGTCATCCTAGCTACTCTGAAGATCTCTGTTCAAAGCCAGCCTGGGCAGGAATATCTATGAGACTCATCTCATGAGACTCATCTCCAGTTAATCACCAGAAAACTAGAAGTGGCACCACTGTGGCTCAAGTGGTAGAGCACCAGCCTTGAGCTGAAGAGCTGAGGGACAGCGCCCAGGCCCAGAGTTCAGGCCCCACGACCAACATAAACAACAAAAAAAGATTAGTGTTTTTTTGCCCAAACAAAGAATTAGGCTATGAAGCGTCATCGTCATTGATGAAATGCTGTCCCCTATTCTTGCATGATGGCTGCGAGGGTGCATATTAGGTTGGCGCCGGCTGACAGCGTGTGAGGGTCGAATGCCAGGTCCACGCAGCCTGACAGCGTGTGAGGGTCGGATGCCAGGTCCACACAGCCTGACAGCGTGTGAGGGTCGGATGCCAGGTCCACACAGCCTGACAGCGTGTGAGGGTCGGATGCCAGGTCCACGCAGCCTGACAGAGTCTGGCACGTTGGCTGCCCATGAGGAAGCGCGCAGTGTGGATGCCGGCCAGGAATTGAACCTTGGCTCTGTTCTACAGCGGGAGGAGCCTGTGTAGGAGTAAAGGAGCAGTCAGGCCCAGAAAGTGAATCCCAAGTGGGCTCTGCCGGGTGCCTGTGCGCCCCGGCTGGGGCGGCTTCCTGGCTGGGACACGCTCCGGAGCCTGCTCCCTCCCGTCCCGGGGAGCAGCTCCAGGGGTCCTGCGCTTTGTGACCTTCTCAATGCCCCCTGAGGAGAGACAGTGGTCCCCGACCGCAGAGCCAGACCCAGAGGGGGCGGGAAACAGAGAAAGTAGCTCCAGAGAGGATTCTCCCAGGTCTCGTTGGAGTCAATCGACTTAACTTTCTCCCTGACCTCCTTTGCTAATAAGTAGCAGCAATTTGGTGGGGAGAGGCGTTGGGCCTCGGGCGCTCCGGGGCACTGGCCCCGAGGGTGAGGCCTTCCCTGTGGATCTTCCCAGCAGGGTCAGAGTGTGTCCCGCATGGTGTGACCCCTGAGTCAAGCCTGCAGCGGCCACCACAGCCGACCCCGGGCCACCCAGGGCCTCGCTGGTCTCCGCGTGATTAGTGGTGTGTGCTGATGCGGTGATCGGGCCGTTCACCCCTCGGTCAGGAGCCCTGAAGTCCCCAGCATTTGTGTCTTCCATGTTGGGTTTTGCTCTTCGGAAGAGCAAGCTGTGTAATGTTGAGAGGAGGCAGTCGAACGTGGAGGTAGCAGCGCTCTTGACACTGGCCATTAATAGTGCAGCCACGGGCGTCTTTGATGCATTAAGACATTGGAGTTCAGGGTTCACGTATATAACCCTAGACTATGAAGCCCAACTTGACTTTGTAGAAACTTACCGAAACAGACGCACTGCTGTAAGAACCTACGAGCACAGTCCCTTCTTCCTCAACTCCTGCTCTTCTTACTATGTCATGCTTATTTTAATTTTCATCAAGGGAAACTTTATAGGGTAATTTTATTTTATTGGTAAAGACATTGAGGCTGACTAGCTGCATGTCAGAAGATCAAAATAAAAGGAATTAAAGCTTTGTGGTTTTCAGGATTTTTTTTTCTGAATCTCTTCCAGAATTTTATTAAGGAAGTATCTAGACGGAATGCACCATATAAATTTAAAGCATTAATCAAGGCAACTATTTGTGAGTTTTATGTAGGCGAGCATCTCTGAAGCGATTCCGCAGCATTGTCCTGAATCCTAGCTCTGTCGGTGCTAAAGGTGATGTGAAGAACTTTCTTAACCTCTGTGTGGTTCAGGTTCCTTGTAAAAAAAGGGAGAATAATAGTAACTCCTAAGAACATACAAACTCGGTGAAACAGTGTTCAGCTTAGTGTTCTGGTACCTGAAAGTTCCACTTCTGAGGACACACGGAGCCTCGTAGACGCAGACGCATTCCTATAGGTTTAGAGATGGACCAGCATGGGATGGGTTCATCCGCAGCTCTGCCTGCCTGCCCTCCCTCCCTGTCCCTTGCCCCTCCCTCTCCCTCCCTCTCTCCCTCTCCCCCTCTCTCCCCTTCCCTCTCTCTCTCCCTCCCCCTCCCTCCTCCTCCCCCTCTCCTTCCCTTCCACCCTCCACTTCTTTCCCCTTCCCTCTCTCTCTCTTCTCCCCCCCCTCCCCCCCCCCCCCCCCCCCCCCCCCCCCCCCCCCCCCCCCCCCCCCCCCCCCCCCCCCCCCCCCCCCCCCCCCCCCCCCCCCCTCTCCCCCCTTCCCCCCCTCCCTCTCTCTCCTCTCCCTCCCCCCGCCTCTCACTTTCTCTCCCCCTCTCTCCACAGATGTCTTGTTCTACCTCTGGTTGTAGGGTGAATCATCCCAGAAGCCACAGTTTGAAATATGGAGTATTGGAGTCTTTATTATGCAGGTAGCAGGCTGCAGGCCGCCCGTTGTTACAAAGCCCTGCGGCACGCAAATACACAGGACACAGCTAGGAAACATGCTAAAGAGGAAAGAAACAACAAACACAATACCAACAAGCCAGTTCAGCTC